GTACATGAAAATATTTAGGTAGATACTCACAACCACTGATGACGCAGCGGCTAAGTGCCCGACTGCGAAACCACTGCAAACTCGACCGCGGGTTCTTGTCCCACCTGGACTCACTTCTTTTTTATTACATTAATTATATTTCTTTTACTTTCTAGCTAAATGACAATGACCAGTATATATGTACAAGCACTTTAAAAATCGTTTAAAATTTTTTTATTCTAAAATACGTACAAAAAATTTTGGAGCAGTTTTCATCACATCGTTTCTCAAGCTACATAACTTTTCCTTTACGGGATTGTTTGTAATTTTCTACGTTAAATGAATATTTGGAGTTTATTTTAAAAGCCTTTATCTTCAATCATTGTGGGTAGATTGTAGCAAATGTGACTGTTTAACGTCCACAGTCTTGTTTCTTATTTCGTTGCTTCTCCTTCCACGTACCCTAATAATGATAGGATTACTTGTATTGTTCGATATTAAATACATACATGAGCTTTGTATTAAGAATACATATCGTTATGATTATTTGGTGGATTGCAGCAAACTCGATTGCATGACGTGCACAATCTTCGTTCTTATTTCGCTACTTCTCCTTCCACATGCCCTAGTAATGATAGGATTATTTGTATTTTTCGATACTAAATACATACATGTTCTTTATGTTAAGTTGGAGCCAGCCTTCATTGTTCCACAATTGCGGTCGTTTCTGATAAACGTCTTCGCGTAGTCGCCTCGAAACATTAGAATAAAAGTTTGCATTAACTATCAAATTATGAGGAACAAGTTCCCAGTGCACATTTCAACTAATATCCAAATACAAACGATTAACATGCTCCTCGTCGAACTTCTCATTCGTGGTACTTCTTTGGGTCTGAGTGGCAGTGGTCGTTTCTATGCTGAAGCATTTTAAATGGCTCTGTGGCAGATTTTTCAAGTTTGACACAAAACTTCACGTTTGCCCTTTCTTCAAACTTCAGGTCCACTTTCAAATTACAGAACCGCACGATCACACTTCTACTGAATTGTTCGTAGCACACCTCACTATACACACAGGTAGACTGATGCACAATGGTATAAAAAAAGTGACCCGCAAAGCCATCAAAGCTGGGGACACACGAGCGTCGAAACGTAGTCCAGTTTCTTTTTGATAGCACCTCGTATATACAAAAAACAGGGTTAAAGCCATTTCACATACATGCAACGCGCATTGCAGAACACACTTGAAAGGGTTGATTTTAATGGGTCGACGCGCAGCTAACGACTTCGTACAACGTCAAGCCGAACACGAGCATTCTGATGCGCAACGTAGAAAATCGTATGGCGCGTGTAAATCAGTTTTGCCTTTTCGTTGAAGTAAAAGTAATTGTTTATTTTACTTATAACTCATCATTTATATAAAAATTCTTAGTATTCTTGCAGTATTCTAAATTGTAAGCATTCGATAATGAAAAACTACTTTTAAGTATTGAACTTGGTGCCATTCGTACATTGTTTTTCTATGCTGATATAGTATTAGATGTTTGAAACAACAGAGAATCGAGATCTGATGTGATGTTCCATTTATTCCTTGAAATTAAATTATTTTGTTGCTGATGATATTATCTTATGAAAAGTGGCTGCAAGCATCTTAGATTTGATTGTATACGTAATTATTTATTTATGTAATTATGCAATGATATTTTTTATTTTAACCACAGTTAAATAAAGTATTCGGAATTATTCGTTAATAATGTTTTGAATTTTTCAATCTTTTCTACAGGGTGTTAAGCAACACTGCTGTTGGTAGTGGAGTAAATACTTTACAATATAATGAATACCGTATTATAAAGATATTTCATATCAGCTTATGTACTCATTTAGTAAAGAAAGTACAAACATTCAAGGTATAAATTACTTTTTCACGGAAGAAATGTCAAAAGAATTTATCATATTTTTAACCCCTTCGCATCGGAGGACGAGATATCTCGCCACATGATTTCATTCATGATATGCTTTGAACGAGATGTCTCGCGCTCACGTTCCCGTTTTTCAATGTTTACAAGTGAATGTCACTCATTGGTTGCTTTAGATTTTAGACGATGGTATTCCGCTTCTACATTGAGTTCATTACAACAGTTTTTATGGAGCATTTCGTAAGTGTAGTCTTCATGTTGCGATGATTTAATAAGAATCGCATTATGAAAAAATAAAATCATTAGTTTCTAGAAACAAAACATTTTCTTCAGTTGACATTCCTAACCTTTCCTACATTCACATTCACAGTGACCTACGAATTTATTTTGATGCAAATCGTTGGAAGAGATATCTCGCGTTGTAATAAAAATTCATGAACGACTTTGTGTCGCGAGATATTTCGTACATAGCATCGCATGAAAGACATTGTGTTACAAGATATCTCGGCCAAAGCATATCATGAACGAAATCACGTGGCGAGATATCTCGTCCATCGGTGCGAAGGGATTGAGCATGACATACCTTATCTAAAAATCTAAAAAATTGCAAGGAGAATGGTTATGAATATATATGTTATTACTGTAAAAATATAAATCTAGTCACCAAAATTTCCTTAAGCAATTCGCATTTCTTACCAATTTTATGGTTCTTAATTTTCTCCAACTACAATTTTCAATAGCAAAATTGGAGACAGTTTTGTAATAGGTGCCCGGCATTTGCAATGTATGCGACTTTTTCACAATTTTTGCGAGTCTCTGAACACAGAAATGTAGCGAAAACCATTTTTATACGTACGTTCTGTCGCCATACGAATTGTATGTTATTAAATATAGTCTGATTTTGTCGGGTTTGGACTTATTTTCATCAGAAGAATCTCCTAAATTTATTCATAACATTTTTAAGAAAGTACACTAAAAGAAGTAAAAGTTTCAATTTTTATTCATGGGTGATTCGTCGTTCTGTGTGTTACAGTGTAACCCGAGCGTCGGTCGGCGGCGGTTTATAGAGTATCAGATAGCATCTCTACTCGCCAAGGCTTGGCTAGGCAGAGCCTTGTATCCGCTGACACCTCATAAAACTGTCATTCCGGCTTGTTCAAGCCGGCCGAGTCAAGCCGGGGAATGGTTGGCCTCGAGCCGGCTCGAGCTGCTGGGCTCGAAGACTCATCACTAGCAGCTAGTGACTAGGTACAGGGGCGATGTCGCCGGAGCGACTGTGTCACCCCCTCCACCATCGACAGTGAGTCGACACGGTTTTAATAGCGCGGTTGTTTAAAGCGGCACGGCCTTTCATATTATGCAGCAAGAAATTTCACCCTGTATATATTTTATTTACGAAAATATTACACATTATTATAAATATTATTATTTACTTCCATTGTATTAAATCGGCGTCGAGACATGTCCCATTCTGACAATAATTTCATATGATTGTAGAAAAACCAAGTACTTTTACGGGGCTTCTTCGGGGCTTTCCCCTTGTTCGTACATTTACCTTCAAAACGAAGCTTCAGGTAACTAGAAAATTTAACCTGATACACCTTTTCTTGCCGATTCTCTACCTGACTATTCCTTCAGTAATAAAATTGACCGACGACCTGAAGTTTTGTGTTAGCAAGTAAATGCATGAAAATGTGCATTCGAACAAAGTTATATGTACGTAGGTATAGTAACAATGTCATAAAGCAAGTGAGAAATGTGTATGTGGCTGTCATACACGACCATACATATAATCTCTCAACCTTTTCTCAATAATATGATTACATTATATAACAATGAAAACCTTTATGTATAAATATATATTATATTTATACTATTTTTATAATACATATTCACGGAAACAGGAAACATATTCTTACTATTTGGTACATGAACATTCTATATAGATGTTATTCATCCATTCAGCGGTTTATTTTTCACTACGGATGGTTTAATTCAACAATGATAGAAAAGCTCCTTCCAATTTCGTCAACGATGCGCGCCGAACGTTCTCGTGCGCGCGACAGCCGTGTTTCCCCGTCTTCACGAACATTCGCGCGTTGCAAATGCGCGCCGGGTCGTTAAAATTGATCTGTTAGGGTCTTGAGTGAAAATTCTGTTGCATGTTGCACGAGTGTGTACGGGATTTTGGCCGCGCGCCATGTTGCGCGTGTTCGTGTTCGCTGTTGCACGTATTTGGACCTGCCTTTAGGCTTAAGAAAACTAACGAAACTACACTATTGTACACGATTCTGTAGTCGTGTTGAGAAATGCTGTGTTATTCGAGGGTTTCTACAATTCTCTAACCCTGTTAGAGCGAAACCATGGTATGGCAATATCGTGTAATACAGGGTTGTCTGTCTGTATTTCCTTCAACGAAAATAGATGAAACAATGTCATCTTGCGTTATCTGTACATATTTATCATATCTTAGATTACCTTTACGTGTTTATTATATCTTGAATTATCTTTACGTATTTCAAATCCAAGTTTTCAGAGAAATGAGAAAACAGTCAGATGATAAATGGAGAATCATACTAGGGCTGAAAAGAGAAAAATGTAGGTGAAAAAAGATATGAGTGAGAGTAAGCGAAGTAAATTCGAAACGATTGTTCCCGAATGAATTGGTGGCAATATGCTCCTCTTAAACACAGGTTCAAATAATATTTTATTTGAATAATTCTAAAGTATACTTCTTCTATTATTATCACGAAAATCTCGTTGATCACTTACTAACAGTTACACAGAGCTTGACTACTTCAGAACTGAACAAAATTTGAAATTTCTGATTTACTGATGTTTGATTTAGAAACATCTTAACAATGAACATCTTCTGAAATCTATTCCAGTTCAATGTTCCATGTGAATCAAAATAATGTTTAAACAGAAATTTTTAATTACATTTGGTTCAAAGCAACAAATACTGATGCCCAAGAAATGATGCCTATCTACAGAAAAGCAGGCAAAGCCTTTTTTGATACATGTAAATTCGCAAATTCTGTTTATATTCATGATTATACAAGAGCAATAAACAAACCAATGATGATCATATTTTTAAGCAGAACGTACTTGTGTTTTGTTCATTTGCCGTCGTTGTATCTTCCAAATCGTCCTCAAACTCCTGCAACGAATCTTGTCGATCCTGATTAATTGTATCACTTATAGGACTCGCTAACTGATTATCCGTAGTTAAACCTTCGTCTTTCGTCACCTCGTCCTCCACGGTTTGACTACTGTTCATCAGGAACACGCACTTCAAAATATTGCGTAGATCCGACGCGAAGTTAGTCTGCAACTGGTCAGCCACACCAGCTATACACACGAACAGACGATGAACAAGGTCTTCCGACGACCTGAAATGATGAAACGTATTTGAAGATCGCCCGACCAGTAGCTAAAATTCACAACATGTGAACGATTTTAATTCAATACGAACATACAAACTTATAACTACCGTTCTTGGATTTATAAATTTACAATGTACTATACCACTCATAAGGATTTGCACTCCTCTCGAGGAAAAGTTTATTATTTACTTTCATTTTACATTTCACTTTAGGAATTTGCAACAAATAATGGATTTTCGTTGTTTTATGAGCAGATTGCAGATATTTATGTAAATATAAATGTTTGCACAGTAATTTATAGGAACTATGGTCTGTTTTTCTAAAGAAGATGCCTGGGAGGTTGGCCTACCGGAGTTACGTATTTCGTGCGACGTTGTGACGGTCTCAATGCCACTGTGTGTCTCTTTCCATCCTCCGGCACATCGGCACGAGAGCCTCTCGCTCAGACGCTCCGTAAACCAACTTCCTTCTTTACCCTGCGATTTCCACGTGTTGCGTTTAATAACCTACGTATTAATTCAATCCCCTTTTAATATGTTGCTCAATAATTGGTTACAATACATTCTTTCAAAAGGAATAAACTGTTTCTTATTCATGTATTTTAACTCTTGACGCGTGAAAACGTTCAGCGTCTCGTCAACATTCTCCGCCATTTCCAAACAATGGATGATTGACGGACGCGTGCTGAAGGCAGTCCCCACTCCTTGAAATTGTAGGTAGGTCCTTTTCGAGAGGTTTGTAATACGTGCGATTGAGACAGACGACCGTAGGCGAGGACTCACGTAAGACTGATGCACAATGGTATAAAAAAAGTGACCCGCAAAGCCATCAAAGCTGGGGACACACGAGCGTCGAAACGTAGTCCAGTTTCTTTTTGATAGCACCTCGTATATACAAAAAACAGGGTTAAAGCCATTTCACATACATGCAACGCGCATTGCAGAACACACTTGAAAGGGTTGATTTTAATGGGTCGACGCGCAGCTAACGACTTCGTACAACGTCAAGCCGAACACGAGCATTCTGATGCGCAACGTAGAAAATCGTATGGCGCGTGTAAATCAGTTTTGCCTTTTCGTTGAAGTAAAAGTAATTGTTTATTTTACTTATAACTCATCATTTATATAAAAATTCTTAGTATTCTTGCAGTATTCTAAATTGTAAGCATTCGATAATGAAAAACTACTTTTAAGTATTGAACTTGGTGCCATTCGTACATTGTTTTTCTATGCTGATATAGTATTAGATGTTTGAAACAACAGAGAATCGAGATCTGATGTGATGTTCCATTTATTCCTTGAAATTAAATTATTTTGTTGCTGATGATATTATCTTATGAAAAGTGGCTGCAAGCATCTTAGATTTGATTGTATACGTAATTATTTATTTATGTAATTATGCAATGATATTTTTTATTTTAACCACAGTTAAATAAAGTATTCGGAATTATTCGTTAATAATGTTTTGAATTTTTCAATCTTTTCTACAGGGTGTTAAGCAACACTGCTGTTGGTAGTGGAGTAAATACTTTACAATATAATGAATACCGTATTATAAAGATATTTCATATCAGCTTATGTACTCATTTAGTAAAGAAAGTACAAACATTCAAGGTATAAATTACTTTTTCACGGAAGAAATGTCAAAAGAATTTATCATATTTTTAACCCCTTCGCATCGGAGGACGAGATATCTCGCCACATGATTTCATTCATGATATGCTTTGAACGAGATGTCTCGCGCTCACGTTCCCGTTTTTCAATGTTTACAAGTGAATGTCACTCATTGGTTGCTTTAGATTTTAGACGATGGTATTCCGCTTCTACATTGAGTTCATTACAACAGTTTTTATGGAGCATTTCGTAAGTGTAGTCTTCATGTTGCGATGATTTAATAAGAATCGCATTATGAAAAAATAAAATCATTAGTTTCTAGAAACAAAACATTTTCTTCAGTTGACATTCCTAACCTTTCCTACATTCACATTCACAGTGACCTACGAATTTATTTTGATGCAAATCGTTGGAAGAGATATCTCGCGTTGTAATAAAAATTCATGAACGACTTTGTGTCGCGAGATATTTCGTACATAGCATCGCATGAAAGACATTGTGTTACAAGATATCTCGGCCAAAGCATATCATGAACGAAATCACGTGGCGAGATATCTCGTCCATCGGTGCGAAGGGATTGAGCATGACATACCTTATCTAAAAATCTAAAAAATTGCAAGGAGAATGGTTATGAATATATATGTTATTACTGTAAAAATATAAATCTAGTCACCAAAATTTCCTTAAGCAATTCGCATTTCTTACCAATTTTATGGTTCTTAATTTTCTCCAACTACAATTTTCAATAGCAAAATTGGAGACAGTTTTGTAATAGGTGCCCGGCATTTGCAATGTATGCGACTTTTTCACAATTTTTGCGAGTCTCTGAACACAGAAATGTAGCGAAAACCATTTTTATACGTACGTTCTGTCGCCATACGAATTGTATGTTATTAAATATAGTCTGATTTTGTCGGGTTTGGACTTATTTTCATCAGAAGAATCTCCTAAATTTATTCATAACATTTTTAAGAAAGTACACTAAAAGAAGTAAAAGTTTCAATTTTTATTCATGGGTGATTCGTCGTTCTGTGTGTTACAGTGTAACCCGAGCGTCGGTCGGCGGCGGTTTATAGAGTATCAGATAGCATCTCTACTCGCCAAGGCTTGGCTAGGCAGAGCCTTGTATCCGCTGACACCTCATAAAACTGTCATTCCGGCTTGTTCAAGCCGGCCGAGTCAAGCCGGGGAATGGTTGGCCTCGAGCCGGCTCGAGCTGCTGGGCTCGAAGACTCATCACTAGCAGCTAGTGACTAGGTACAGGGGCGATGTCGCCGGAGCGACTGTGTCACCCCCTCCACCATCGACAGTGAGTCGACACGGTTTTAATAGCGCGGTTGTTTAAAGCGGCACGGCCTTTCATATTATGCAGCAAGAAATTTCACCCTGTATATATTTTATTTACGAAAATATTACACATTATTATAAATATTATTATTTACTTCCATTGTATTAAATCGGCGTCGAGACATGTCCCATTCTGACAATAATTTCATATGATTGTAGAAAAACCAAGTACTTTTACGGGGCTTCTTCGGGGCTTTCCCCTTGTTCGTACATTTACCTTCAAAACGAAGCTTCAGGTAACTAGAAAATTTAACCTGATACACCTTTTCTTGCCGATTCTCTACCTGACTATTCCTTCAGTAATAAAATTGACCGACGACCTGAAGTTTTGTGTTAGCAAGTAAATGCATGAAAATGTGCATTCGAACAAAGTTATATGTACGTAGGTATAGTAACAATGTCATAAAGCAAGTGAGAAATGTGTATGTGGCTGTCATACACGACCATACATATAATCTCTCAACCTTTTCTCAATAATATGATTACATTATATAACAATGAAAACCTTTATGTATAAATATATATTATATTTATACTATTTTTATAATACATATTCACGGAAACAGGAAACATATTCTTACTATTTGGTACATGAACATTCTATATAGATGTTATTCATCCATTCAGCGGTTTATTTTTCACTACGGATGGTTTAATTCAACAATGATAGAAAAGCTCCTTCCAATTTCGTCAACGATGCGCGCCGAACGTTCTCGTGCGCGCGACAGCCGTGTTTCCCCGTCTTCACGAACATTCGCGCGTTGCAAATGCGCGCCGGGTCGTTAAAATTGATCTGTTAGGGTCTTGAGTGAAAATTCTGTTGCATGTTGCACGAGTGTGTACGGGATTTTGGCCGCGCGCCATGTTGCGCGTGTTCGTGTTCGCTGTTGCACGTATTTGGACCTGCCTTTAGGCTTAAGAAAACTAACGAAACTACACTATTGTACACGATTCTGTAGTCGTGTTGAGAAATGCTGTGTTATTCGAGGGTTTCTACAATTCTCTAACCCTGTTAGAGCGAAACCATGGTATGGCAATATCGTGTAATACAGGGTTGTCTGTCTGTATTTCCTTCAACGAAAATAGATGAAACAATGTCATCTTGCGTTATCTGTACATATTTATCATATCTTAGATTACCTTTACGTGTTTATTATATCTTGAATTATCTTTACGTATTTCAAATCCAAGTTTTCAGAGAAATGAGAAAACAGTCAGATGATAAATGGAGAATCATACTAGGGCTGAAAAGAGAAAAATGTAGGTGAAAAAAGATATGAGTGAGAGTAAGCGAAGTAAATTCGAAACGATTGTTCCCGAATGAATTGGTGGCAATATGCTCCTCTTAAACACAGGTTCAAATAATATTTTATTTGAATAATTCTAAAGTATACTTCTTCTATTATTATCACGAAAATCTCGTTGATCACTTACTAACAGTTACACAGAGCTTGACTACTTCAGAACTGAACAAAATTTGAAATTTCTGATTTACTGATGTTTGATTTAGAAACATCTTAACAATGAACATCTTCTGAAATCTATTCCAGTTCAATGTTCCATGTGAATCAAAATAATGTTTAAACAGAAATTTTTAATTACATTTGGTTCAAAGCAACAAATACTGATGCCCAAGAAATGATGCCTATCTACAGAAAAGCAGGCAAAGCCTTTTTTGATACATGTAAATTCGCAAATTCTGTTTATATTCATGATTATACAAGAGCAATAAACAAACCAATGATGATCATATTTTTAAGCAGAACGTACTTGTGTTTTGTTCATTTGCCGTCGTTGTATCTTCCAAATCGTCCTCAAACTCCTGCAACGAATCTTGTCGATCCTGATTAATTGTATCACTTATAGGACTCGCTAACTGATTATCCGTAGTTAAACCTTCGTCTTTCGTCACCTCGTCCTCCACGGTTTGACTACTGTTCATCAGGAACACGCACTTCAAAATATTGCGTAGATCCGACGCGAAGTTAGTCTGCAACTGGTCAGCCACACCAGCTATACACACGAACAGACGATGAACAAGGTCTTCCGACGACCTGAAATGATGAAACGTATTTGAAGATCGCCCGACCAGTAGCTAAAATTCACAACATGTGAACGATTTTAATTCAATACGAACATACAAACTTATAACTACCGTTCTTGGATTTATAAATTTACAATGTACTATACCACTCATAAGGATTTGCACTCCTCTCGAGGAAAAGTTTATTATTTACTTTCATTTTACATTTCACTTTAGGAATTTGCAACAAATAATGGATTTTCGTTGTTTTATGAGCAGATTGCAGATATTTATGTAAATATAAATGTTTGCACAGTAATTTATAGGAACTATGGTCTGTTTTTCTAAAGAAGATGCCTGGGAGGTTGGCCTACCGGAGTTACGTATTTCGTGCGACGTTGTGACGGTCTCAATGCCACTGTGTGTCTCTTTCCATCCTCCGGCACATCGGCACGAGAGCCTCTCGCTCAGACGCTCCGTAAACCAACTTCCTTCTTTACCCTGCGATTTCCACGTGTTGCGTTTAATAACCTACGTATTAATTCAATCCCCTTTTAATATGTTGCTCAATAATTGGTTACAATACATTCTTTCAAAAGGAATAAACTGTTTCTTATTCATGTATTTTAACTCTTGACGCGTGAAAACGTTCAGCGTCTCGTCAACATTCTCCGCCATTTCCAAACAATGGATGATTGACGGACGCGTGCTGAAGGCAGTCCCCACTCCTTGAAATTGTAGGTAGGTCCTTTTCGAGAGGTTTGTAATACGTGCGATTGAGACAGACGACCGTAGGCGAGGACTCACGTGGACGGTCGCACGTCATTGGCCAAGACGCAAAGAGTGAGAGAGACACAAGTGCCGTAGATGTCTCGCGATCGCGGCAACACCGCGAAAACTCGGGCCTACTTCCCAGGCATCTTCTTTGGAAAAACAGACCATAGAATCGAATAGAAATTTGTTGACACTATTAAGGATTCTATCAAGCTGTGACTAACATAAAAGTGCTATAAGGGTTTTTAATATACTAATTGTAAGTTTTAGACAATTGCGAATTCTATGAATACATACAATTCACAAGTTTATTTATGACCCTAACTGCGAGAAAAACTAGTTCTTCTGAAATATCTAGTAGATTTTTTGGTAAGATGAATCTAATATACATATGGGCAAATACTCGCAAGAGAGAGAGAGAGTGTGTACGTATATGTAGATCAATATACGTAACAAGATTAATGACAGAAAATTGATGTAACTACGAAAATAAACAAAGTATTTTTGTGCTTTTGACCTATGAAAACGTACAAAAGAATTTGGTCGCTAAAACTCTGACTTAAAAACTATATTTCATTAAATTTCTATAATACATGCGAAAATTGTACTACTGATCGAAATGCTCGATTATATTTTAACGATCAAAAGTAATCAACAAAATCCTAAAAATTAATTTCATGGAATTAGTATGATTCTCCTTACCGCCTACTTCTTCAACTCTATTACTATATTTTCAACGCATGTAAGTGACATCCCTGTATGTACAATAACAAAAATCATGGAAAATCATTTTACCGAAACTTCGCCCGAATCTGATTTCTGTTTGCGATCTCGGCGGCCTGCATGGCAAGTGCGATCTCCTCGTCGTCCTGGCAATCGCTCTGAAACTCGCTGGTCTCCGAGCTCGAGTCGCAACAGCTCGAACAGCTAGAACTGGATCCCATATCTTGCTTGTGAGTCAAGGAGTGATCCAAGCTGAACGACTGCGTGCCAGACACCGTCGACGGATTGACCAGTCTTATCGTTCGGGTAGTTCTCTGTGCATTATTGTCTTTTATTACGTTCTGGATCCCGTAAGGAACATTTTGCGGCACCAAAACAGGCGAAATTGGCTCTGTGACCAGGCCACTCTTGTCTGTTCTTGGTCCCAAACCGTCGTTCATCAGTTCATTAGGACTTCTGCATTCCAGCTTCCTTTTCGTCTGCTCCGAACGAGGATTAATCCGATCGCACCTGTCCCTCTTCTCAATGTCTCTTCTCTTCATTCTACTGATTTGCTCCGATCTCGACCGTCTGTGGTCCAAAAGCTTCCTGTTTTGCGGCGACATGTTCCTCTGCGCTCTAGGAGCGATGTGACAAGTCCGTTGGCCCGACGTGCCGTTCGTACGGGGTTCGAAGTGCTGCATCCTCGGGCTAGCGTGAGGACTGTGACTACCGAAGTTCGGCATCTGCCTGGTGTTCTGACTGGGATGCAAACTCGCGCCGTAACTGACTAATCTGGGATTCAAACACCGATCGGTCGAGTTCGACCGAGAACTTTCGGTGCTGGTTGCGCAGTATACAGTCTGGAAGTTCGACGTTCTGTTCTCCTGCACCCCGTGGATCACACCGTTCCGCTCGTGTTTACGGTGATATCTCCGTTTCTGCTTATCGTCCCGCGTCTTCCGCGACATGATCTTGTCCTGCGCGTACTGCTCGATCTTCGTCCCGATCTTGCCAATGTTCTGGGACGTCGACGGGCAATTCTCGCATTTCAGGTCGCACCAGAACTCCCTTCTGGACGTGGACGCGTCGATGTTCAGGTTCAGGTTCTCCCAGTTCTCGGTGTAGTTAATCTGGAAGCTGGACTGGTTCGAGTCGCACACGGATATGTGACCGTTCCCGTACGCGACCCCGACAAACTCCTCGTTGGTGCCGTCGAAATTCGACGATATCCTCGGAATGTGTTTTGCGGCCTCAGTGCTGACCGAGTAAAGATTGTGTACCTCGATCGAATGATCCAAATGAGCGACCGACGGTTTCACTGTTCTCAGGCTACACACGCAAGAGTTGTCCGAGATCGTGGAGCTCTTCCTTTTCGGCGAATTTAGATTCGAGCAGGAGTAACTGGTGTTCTCTTGCGTGTCCTCGTCGTCCAGGTTCTGATCGTCCTGTTGGATCTCGTTCACGAATGTTTTCTTCTCCTCGGGACTCTTGTCGTACAGACTCGTGTTCTCCGATGATATCACGGTGCAGATACCGGAATCCGTGTGCTCCGATATTTCGTTCTGGCAGTCGCCGTCCAACAGAAGATTCGAAAGCGTCTTATTCGCTTCTGAGATCAGTTTCTTGGAGTCCAGATCCGGCAGCGAGTTCTCAATGTGCACGGTCTCAACGGTCATCACGTTGTTGTCGTGCGAGACTTGGTTCAAGAGGTACTGGGTCTGCGGGATTTCGATGTTTCCGGAACCGACGAATATTTCGGATATATCGGAGCTCATGAAATCGGCCTGATGTTGGTGCAACTGATGGCCCAATTGGTTCTCACCGAAACCAGACACAATGCCTTCTGCACTAACCTGAACCGCAGCTCCATAAACTGACAAGTAACCGGAACTCGCGTTCTCCTCGTCCCTTGTTGGACAAGGGCTGCCATTTCTGGATCGTTGCTGTCTGCTACCGTTCGAGTTGCAAGCTTTCTTGACATTGTCCCGTTCCCTCGATGTCTTCGCGCCACCATTACACCTCACACTCTCGTCATACCCATCCATGTATATAGTCAAACAATTAGGCCCGTGTTCCGCGGTGTTTGTCCTTGTATCCCCGTGCCTATCCTCCTCATCTAGTTTGACCGTACCCACTAACAAGCGATCGCCGTTCACGTTTTCCTCTGTCAAATCCTGAACTACATCATTCGCCACCTCGTCCATGTTGTTCCCCGTGTTCTTCGTCACTGTGTAAAAATCTACGATGAAGTCTTTACAGTTCGGGTAACCGGTATAAAAATTGTGAACGAATTCCTCCAGGTCCGGTATGTCCTGGCACGCGGACCTCGACGTGTGCGTGATAGGACTCGACGGTTCCTCGTTCGAACATAACAATTTCTCTAGCATGTACAGCTCACGGTTGCTTAGCGTCCAGAGAAGCTCCCTTATTTTCAGAAGAAGCGTCTGAAATGAAACACAATGTCTGTTAGATATTGTTATCTTCATGGGTATGCTGTTTCGTGTTGGGTATACCAATGAGTAATACGATACTTTTCGTTCTAGGAGGTTGAGTTATAAATATCTTCTTTTTTAAATTTCTTTCTTTCGTAGATAATTCACCATTTAAATTAGTCTACAATGTCTGTTGTATTATTACTGATGAATAAATCTCATTTTTTTGTTAGTTTAACGGGTACAATTGTACATCATTTTAGTAAAGGAGAGGGAAAATGTTTTGAAATTACAACATATCATCAGTTTAGTAAAAGAGGAAAAAACATAGTGTCTTAATCATTGACTCTACTAGTGAAAGTACTATGTAGTTATTGCCACTCTGACCTCCATTGTAAGTTTTCGTCTTTCTTTATATATGATGAAAATATTAACAATTTATAAATATTCTCGTATATTTTTGTAAATATGCAGTAACATAGTGTTCAGTGGAATATAATATTTATAGGTACCTGTGTGAATAATATCACACAGCATTGGAAACATGTAAAATTTTCAAAATAAAAGAGGATAATAAAAAAGATTATAAACTTTCTTCGATAGCTGCTGGTGATTGGTCACTTTCCCCAATGAGGATTTCACTTTCTTATTCTGTACTTGCAATTAAACAAACACATATAATTTAACCACAGATAACTGTTCTACATCTTTCATTACTAGTAAATGTTTAATTACATCGAACATGTGAACAATTTTCTATTATAATTCATCAGTCTTTTTGATCAAATACTTTTTGTTAACAGTAATATCAGTTTAAAACAGCTGAAAAATAAAATTTACTTAAACATTCTGAAAATATTAGATCTTGTCTACAAATATCTCTTCATATGAGAACAAAAATACTGTTTCATAGTTTGAAAACAAGTTTAAAATTAAAAACTAATAAAAATAATCGGTGGAACGTAAAGATTATATGTAATGGTATTTATGTAGTTCATAATACAGATATGTGAGTGCATAGAAGCTATAGTAAAGAAACTGTTATACATATGTCAGAACTGTGATGACTCTCAAAGTGAAAGTGACTGAATTACCTGCAGTTCATTTTGAAACAAGTTTTGTATACTTAAAAAAATTACTTATGAAACTAATTACTTGTAATAAATTCTTTTAACTGTAATGTTTAAATACAGTTAAAACTTTTGTAAGACATTACAGGTTCTTATTAAGTGACCATAAAATATGCAGAAATTTAAAAAGGTGGAACAGATAGTGGGAGAAAAGAGAAGAAAGAATTTGTGACTTATGCTGGGACAGACTCTAAACACTAGAACATTTGGTAAGAGACTGGCAAAATAGAGAGAGGGGTTAGGACAGAAGACGCGGTGAGTAGAAGAAGAAATGACAAGAATATAGAGAAATGGCTTAGGGATTTGACACGAAAAGGGAGAGATGAAAGAAAAAGATGTGTAATAGGGCAATAAGAAATAAATAGTAAGAAAGAGGTTAGGATTCAAAACAGAAGGGGAATGAAAGTAGAGAGTAAATAAGAAGACTGCGTGGATTAAGTCAGCAATGTAAAGTTACGTAAATTGTAAACCAAATACAAGTTTCTTGGCTGTGAGGCTGAAATAAAGAATATGTAAATCTCTCTATTGGGTTGGCAAGAAAGTAATTTCGGTTTTGTAGTGTGAAATAAAACTCATTTTTTTATACAAAGTTTAACTTTAATCAATTATATATTTTCCATTTTGCTTAATGACCTTTTGCCATTCTTCTTGCAGCTTCTTGATTCCGCACTCATAGAATTTCTGGTCCTTATCAGCAAAAAACTGAACCAAGTGCGACTTAAGGTCATCATCATTTGTAAAAGTTTTACCATTCAAAGAGTTTTGCAAACTTCGAAATATATGGTAATCAGATGGTGCCAGATCAGGGCTGTATGGGGATGCGACATCACTTCCCAACCAAGCTCCAATAATTTCCCACGAGTTACTAAAGATGTGTGAGGCCTTGCATTATCATGGTGGAACACAATTCCTTTGCGATTTGCCAATTCTGACCGTTTTTCTTTTATTGCTTCATCCAGTTTCAATAGTTGTTGACAGTAAACATCTGAATTGATCGTCTGGTTTCTTGAAAGCAACTCAAAATACACAACACCTTTGTAGTCCCGCCAAATTGACAACATGACCTTTTTTTGATGCAATTCAGGTTTAGATGTGCATTGTACTGGTTCATCACGCTTGGACCATGATCGTTTTCGAATGATGTTACTGTACATGACTCATTGTTCATCACCAGTGATGATACGTTTCAAAAAAGGATCGGCTTTATTGCGCTTGAGATGCATATCGCAAATATTGATTTGTTGTGTTAAGTGAATCTTTTTCAATATATGCGGAACCAAAATATCGAGCTTCTTAGCGAGTCCAAGACATTTTAAGTGATTTTCAATTGTTGTGTGCGATACATTTAACCTCTCTGCAATCTCTCGAAGTTATGTGACGATCCTCTTCAATCCATCATCAACATCAGCAGGTCGACCAGAACGTTGGTCATCTTTGAGTGAAAAATCTCCAGAACGGAATTTTTTAAACCAATTCTAACGCGTGCGATCTTTTATGCAATCAACACCATAAACTTCACATATCTCTTTGTGGGCCTCAGCAGCTTTCTTTCCTTTACGGAAATAAAAAAGTAAAATATGCCGAAAATGTTCGTTTTTGCACTCCATGTTAAAATTGACCCTGAACTAACAGCTACAAAAAAAAATTTGCACAACTTGCTTCTTAAGTGACCTAAATGTGACTGATATCAAATGTTAAAAGGAAAAAACCATAACGCAGACAGGAGTCCTTCAAAACACTTGCAACGCTATCTATGTGTCACAACCGAAAATACTTTATTGCCAACCCAATATCTATTAAGTGGACATAAGGTAGTACCACCAGCCTTCTTGGTAGTCCATGAAACGAGAAAATGGCTGAGTACAGCGAGGGTTAAAATACTCGATAACTATTCACAGAATACTCGTTAACTCTTGATCGATCGCTTACCCGAAATGGTCTAAACATTTCACTAATGTTGTCGGGGGAATTGAGGCACAGTGGGCCCCCGGGCGGAGCCAGGAGGCCGGAAACAATCGCCAAACGGGGAATCGTGAACATCAGGGCCGGTTCGTAATTATCCACATCGGCCTGGCTGAGCAATCCACGTTCGAGTGCTCGTTGCAGCGTCTCCGAGAACAAAACGCACACCAGCTCCTGCTGCTCGTACTCCTCCGTCGATTTCACCGGCACCATGGCACCGACATAGCACAGCTCGAAATCGGCGAACAGTCGATCGAAGATCTTCATTGACTCGATCAGCTTTTCTAGCGACGGGTCCAGCGGATTTTGGGTCTGAAAAAGGTACTGCGAATAGAAACGTTAGTTGAGCACTCGTTCGAACAGCGTATTATTGCAGCACTACTATCGCACACTGCCATTCTCATACGATCGATCACTCGACTGCGTTATAAGAAAGGATACCGCACCGCGTCGCAAGAAAAGTGTCATAGGTCGAAAACATGTAATTTTTCAGGAGGGCGAAAAAAAACAGATTCATTACATAGCATTTTGTATGTTAAACGAAGAGACACTAGCGTCATCGCGCTTGAAGTATTGGACGTATGACACTTTTCTGGATGGTGGATCTACGTATTGGAAGATACTGCAGGCGATAAAACGAAAATTAAAAAAGTCTGACTTGTGGCACTTCTCGCGAGGGTGCGATAATATATCTGAATACGGACAGAATTTTTGTACTGTTTGAAAGTTGTACTGTTTTACGTCACTTTTGAAACGGAATAATGACCCTGTGTACAAAGTCACAGCTTTTTATATGCGATTTATGCAGATTGGTGAGTAATAAAAAAAACTATAAGTCAAGATTCTGACCTTAACTGTAAATGAAAATAGGAAACGTAAAAGGTGTCGGAAAAACATTACAGACAGATTGAAATCAAATTAGTCTAGAAATGTGTAAGAAATGTATTAACGTATTGCCAGGATTGATTTAAACAATGAGTTCTGAATAAAGTAAATGCGTTGATGAAAAAACAGTGTAATATTCTTCGTGTTATCGAATATGGTTTATATACCTCAATAGTGAATCTGGTTACTACGTGTTAAATAATTTATAGAATTTTTTAACTTTAGTGTAACGTGTAGAAAGCAAACCAAAGTTAGTGATACATTCATGCCATATATTATACGAAAAGTACAAGACTACTACAAAAATTTCGAAATATTCTGTGCAAAGCAATGTGAGTAAATAAAACAATATTCAAGTAAGTACGATGTGTATGCAAATACCTATATTTAAATAGTTATGAATTAATTCGCAGAAACTGGAACTAAACAAAAATTTGTTTACTTTATTAAGGATTTAATCAAGTTCCAAATAAAAGGAAATTATTGTAAAAGTTTATTAAACATTCTACTATATAAGTTTTAGGTAACTGGGAGGATTAGGAGAATCTTCTAAATTCATTCGTAACATTTTTAAGAGACTGCACTGAAAGGAGTAAAAGTTTAAATTTTTATTCAAGGGTGATTCATTTTGTGTGTTACAGTGTAACCCGAGTGTCGACCCCGTGACGTCATCTGCCTTGGTCGGCTTGAATTCGGCTTGGTTACCCATCACTATCTAAGTACATGGCACGTCCGCTTATGCGACTCTGACGGACGCGCCCGCCAGCGAATTAATATGTCGAGTGTCACCCTAATGCGCCACGCACGATTGATATGACACGCGCCTGAGGTGGATCGAGCTTCTTAGTCGTCGCGGGGGCAAAAACGCGCGTCAGGAGAAAGGGGGCGCTGCCTCCGAAAATCGGCCAAAACGAGCAATTAATTGTGAAGCCTGCTCTAGATTAATAACTAGTAACGCCAGTTGTACGATCCTATCACAGTATTTTTAAATTTGGCACATAAAAAACAAATAATGCCACCAATGGGTCCAATGGTGCCTTGTTTACCATGCTGCGCTGCGTTCCAGCGATTCTCCATTACGTTTGGCTGTGCGATTCGCATCACATGTGTTGATTAACCTATTACGAGTAACGAGTAAATTAGGAAGTAACCGATCTCGAGAAGAAAAAAAGAGATCGATTATGGGAAAAAAGAAGGCGACTGGAGAGGAAAATTCGTAAATATGATTCTATATTATCAAGATCACAGAGCACATCTCAAGATCGTTCGGGGTCTTCTGCGCGTCGAGAATGGTCGAGAAGCCGTCGTGGAAGATATTACAATAGAAGGTATGGTAAGAAGTTTGATCAAGACGATGAAGAGCGTAGCCCACGAGGTGCGTCTTATCGTAATTTATCTTCGAGTCCACGATATGATAAAGATGGCATCGAGCGTCGCCCGCAAGGCACGTACAGCCATGTGCAATGTCAGTTCGGACACAACAAAGATGGCGTCGAACGTCGCCCGAGAGGTACGTACAGCCATGTGCAATGCCAATTGCAACCCAACAAAGGCAGCATCGAGGGTCGCCCGAGAGGCACGTCAAGCCATATGCGTTCTCAAACGCGACATAACAAAGATGGCGGCAAGCATCGTCCGAAAAACACGTCAAGCCAGAGTTTATGTTGGCAACCGCGATATGACATAGGGAATGTTCAGCATTGCCGACAGATACCAAGAACCATGAATTCAGTTCGTAGTAGTCTGGCGACTTGTACTTGTTTTAGCAATTTTCCCATGTTTTCAGATATACAGGAAAACGGTAACATGACGCCTCCTGACGACGACATTGAAAGATGGCCAATATTACGCCATTCTCGCAGTAGGTCAGTGGAGGAGGTTACAAAACAGAATCCAACGCCCCAGGAGGAAGCGAACGTGGGAGAAAAGGAGAGTCTTTCTGCAGAAACTCTCGACTTGTTAGGACGTGATTTAATAGAACATTCGACTGTCGGGCCGGAATTCAATAATACGGTTTCTGAAAGGTGGGCAAAAATATTAAAATCAGGGTTGTCCAAGGACTCCAAACAGGAACGATTAAAAAAGTATTCACCGGCAGCGAATTGCCTAACATCAAAAGCACCTATATTTAATCCCGAGTTAAAATCTGCAATGTCGAGCACTGCACTCAAGAGGGATGAACACCAAAGACTAGAGCAAGACCATCTACGCAAAGCTATAAGCGCTGTCGGTGGGGCCTTGATAGAGTTCCTGAGGTGTGATAAGCCAGGGAAACCATTGATAGAGATGAACAGGTTCATCATAATGATCAGCGACGCGAGGAGAATTCTCACGGATCTCCACTATAGAAAGTCGGTGACAAGAAGGGCATTTATTTTACCCGGATTGAGCCCAGTAGAAAAAATGATTGCAGACGGGAGTCCGATGGAGTCGTTATTGTTTGGTCAGGATTTTTCCGAAAGAATAAAGACTGCCAAGGCAATGGAGAAATCCACGAAGGGCATTCAGAAGCAAATGAGTGTACCGAGGCAACCGGCATCGTCTGCGACGAGTAGAAAGGACTATGGCCAAAGAGTGAAAAACATCACCAACCATTTAAACTCGAGAGCTCCCCCTGCAAGAGTATCCAGAGCGCCACAACAGAAGGGACGGAAGGTCTATCAACCGCGGAATACGGTAGGACGCCGGAAATAGAAGCAAGTAAATTAGCTGGCAGATTACAATACTTCCTAAAAGAGTGGGAATTGATTACGACTGATAAAAATATCCTGCAAACTATCAAAGGATATAAATTATCGTTGGAAGGAAAAGTCTACCAACTAAATGTACCAAAAGAATCTACTTATTCCCAGTCAGAACTGACAGATTATGAGGTTGCAATTACCGAAATGATAAGAAAGGGAACAGTCTCAAAATGTAGCAGATGTGAAGGAGAGTTTATATCGTCTCATTTCCCCACCACTCCCCCACACCGACGTACCGTCGTCTCCCACTAAGCCTACCGGCGTCTCCCACCTTACGTCCACCGTGCTGTCACACACCAAGCATATCCCAGCCCTGTCCGTGTGCGCTGACCGTTCGAGAGACGGTGAGCTATCTTGGGAAAAGAGTGGTGGGGGTAAAGCGACCACGATTCTGACATCACTGCTGGCTTGGAAATCCTGTTTGAATCCTACTGCGGCGAAAATTCACGTTTTTGACGCGATGCCCAGCAACCTAAACGCGTGAGCAACAGTCAGCGGACCCCGATGTAATCCCAATGTGGCGGTTTTATTTTTTATTTTTAATTATTTTGCAATTTCACTTTGTAACCTCCCAGTAAAATAAAAGCTTATACAATATTGATTTGTGAGGCATTTAAAAAGAGGGTAATAAAGGTTTCCATTTCAGTATTTTAATTTTTTTATATATACATACATGTAGGAAGCTTAGTTTTAAGGAGTACAACGATGCACGTAGTAGCGAGTGAGACCCCTAGGTAGCGCGGTGGGCATACGAGAGAGGGCGCCGTTCGTTCTATTCGTGCTTACGTTGTTCGTTCGCTCGTTGTCGAGAAGAAGTGATTCTTGTAACCGTCCCTCGACGATATCATTTATTTTTTGTATCTTCCGTATTTCCGTTTTGTGAATAAACACATTTCTACATACATATTGTGTTACATATGCACAAATTATTCTTACAATTAGATGTTATCATTATAACCCTAATCATCATTACCCTAAATATTCGTACAGAAATCTATTAGATTTAACTGCAAAAGTTTGGAAATTTCTTTATTATCGGAAATTTCGACAATAATGAATTTCTAAAAGCTATTTCAACGGTAAGGAACTTCAAATTAGGTACAATCATACGCGTCGCCGAATACGTTATTGTTTCATTATGTCAAAACAGTCTTTTGAAAAGCGGTAATTACGAGTTTCAAGGGTTTCGAAAGAAGCGCTTTAGCTACTCGAAAAAACAATATACTGCGAATAGTGATCCGCTATTGATAATTGTCATTCACTTCACAAAAATGTCCCGATCTCATTACGCTGCCAAGCGTATCATTCGGTCGTCATTGTATTATAGTCGCTTGTGCGTGTATTTCTTTCGCCGTACTTCCGCCGCGTGTATTTTTTTCGCGTGTAATTCTTCCGCGTAATATATTACATTTCCAGCGATAAATTTTTTTCTATCCAGAAAAAAGATAAGTTTACAATAATATTTATATTTTATCTTATACTATTACAACAATGATTATAATTATATTTATATATTTATTTCTTTTTAGATATATACATAAGCAAGAGACTATCGTACTTCGTTACTATGGTTAGCTGCGAAACTTCTACTCAAAAGTGAGGAAGCGAAATTACAAAATAATTCAACAAAAAAAGATAAGTTCATAGCAACCTTAATATTTTAACTTATCTTATTAAAATTACTATTTCAATTATATGTTTTTTCTTTTCATATGCAGAAAAACAAAAGTCCATACGGCATCGTATATGCGTGGACTAGCTGCAACATC